GATTGATGAAGCATTTATCCTCGTAGTGTTGTCCTTTGCTAGCAAAACGCACTCAATGTAGTACAACGAGGCCAACTTCACAGCATCCATCGAATCAGCACGTGTGGAAAACCTCAGTTTCTTAAATCTATTCTTCAAAGTCACGTGAGTAATGTCAACTTTGCCACCAAAATATTTCTGAGCAAGGGCCCCTACTGGTTCAGCTTCTTCGGCAGATTCGTGTCCTGAATCATGTCCAACATCCTGTTCAGAATCTTCATCCCCAGCTGCCTCAGGTTCTGGTTCAACACCGTTTGGTAATCCACCTATGTAGCAAAAGTCCACATAAGTAAACTTATACAGTGTATCCCCAATGGCAAACCACAGCTCATCATCCGGTTGCTCCTTCACTAGGTGTAAGGCCAACATGTGCAATATTTGCCCAGAATTGTCTGTCTCTGGGATGTCAATCAGATGCCCCCATGGTAAATCCCTAAACACTTCCCTTTGTCTTTCAGTTAACCTCTTTTTTACCCAGTTCGCTGCATTTCTAAAGTCTGAACACACAGAGTACTGCGCGGGGAAATACTCGTGACTCGGAATGCGTAACTTTAGCGGACTGACAGTTGGACAAACATAAATGTCAAACATAAAATAACACCCCACATGAAACTTACACCAGCACACACATAACTTATAAACATAGACAAAGGAACTACGCTATAATAGACACAATTTCATTCACAGACAATTACTAACACTACAGATGAACCACACCACTACACAGCCAACTTATGAACTCCAAATGTACATTATTTGATTCACAGACAATAATTAACAACAAATTTACTTTACACCACCACACAGGCAAGTTATAAACATAAAACAAAACAATTATATTTTATCACAAACACAATTTCATTCATAGACAACAATTAACGCCTAATGAAGATTTCACCACCACACACACACACCTTATACACATCAACAAAGGAAGCATACCATATCATACATAAGTGTTGATTCAGACACAATACTTCACATATTCAGTCTATAAACCAGCCCACAGTTCCATGTTCAAAGATTGCTAAAAACCCAAGAAATAAAAAAAACCCTAAAAACAAACAAAGGTTGGGAAATGATAGATACTACTCCACCATCTCTGACAGTGGGGTTCACACAATTGCTGAGCTTCGTCACCTCCTCGCTTCAAACCTCTAAACGCTTGGACAGGGCTTCGAATGTCCCAATTTGAGAAAAGTTACAGCGGAAGGGGGGGAGCGAGTGAGCTTCCGGAGATGGATGCCGGTTCACACCTCAAACACAGAGAGCTCGTGGGGATATGGGTGACAAGTATGGGTGGGGGAGAGGAGTTTCGACTCTCAAGGGCGGCGGGTGTTTTGATTTTCAAGAAAGGGGGGGGGGGGGGGGGGAGCGAGGGAGTTACGCGAGTGAGGTGAGGGGAAAAGGGGAGGAGGGGAAAAGTGGGGGTAATTTTTTTGGGGGCTTTTATAGTGTGTATAGGATGGGTGCAATTGTGTGTACAAAGAGCATAATTGAAAAAAGTAAACGTCCAAGTAAATAGATGCAGTCAATCTGTCATACAGAGGAGTATTATGGGGCAAAATATATCATACACCCGGATGTAACGTGTGATTTGGTACATCCAGGTATTTTTGTAATTACTTATAAACTTGAGGTGGTTAATTACGGAGCATGGCATTTGCTACTCTTCCTTGTCGCTGCTCTTCCGTTTGTTCTTTTTCCTTTTCTTAATAGTTACGAGTAATTTACACTTTTTCCTTATCCACTTATCATTTGGTTGCTCCTTCTCGTTTTTCCTTTTTACCTTTTTATAGTTCTCGTTTTTCTGTTTTCTTATCTTTTAATTTTGAACTTTAAGTTTTCTATGTTTAAGTTTTTATTTTCTTTTTCATGCTTTGGTTTTTCCTTTTTCTTTTCCTTTAATTTTGAACTTTATTTTTTCTAACTTTAACATTTCTTTTTCTTTTTTCTGCTTCATTTGTTTCTTTTTTCTTTTTGTATATACTTTTGTCTTCCAGTTCTCTAATTTTGAACTCTTACTTTTTTATTTTTATGTAATTTTTCTACAATATTTTTTTCATGCAATTCTTTCAAAAATTCATATTGAATAGCAATTCAATAAAAACATATACTTTTCTCACTCTTCTATTAAAAGCTCCAATCTTCTAAATAATTATGAATATATTATTTAATTTAAATGTGCATTGATAAATGAATATACACAAATGAATATTTGAACACATTAGAGATTTCAATTGAACTTTTGAATTTTTTTGATGCTCATTTTGTATGTTATGAATGCTCATCTGGTATTGGTTAAATGCTCATTTGTAAGTTACATATGCTCATCATCTGGTATTGGTTAAATGTTCATTTTAAAATGTCATATCAATGCATATTTTAAAATGTCATATCAATGCATATTTCAAGTCATATTAGAGATCATGATACTCAATTAAAACGTTTTGATGCTCACTCAACTAAAAAAACTTATGATTGTCATACTAATGCTCATTTTATAATTTATGAATGCTCAATCGGTACTCAATTGCACGCTTCTAATACTCAATAGAGGAGGTTTGATGCCCAATGAAAAAATGTCTTCATGCTCAACTAACAAAGCTTATTATTTTCATATTAATGCTTATTTTGTAAGTTACATATGCTAGTTAAAAGTTCATTAATGCCCATTTAATAGAAAGCGTTATTTTTATCTCAATATAGGAGGTTTGATGCTTAATGAAAATACCGTGACGTCCAACTAACAAACCTCATGATTTTCATATATATATGCTCATTTTGTAAGTTACATATGCTCAATTGGTACTCATGTTATGCTCATTTTTAAAATGTCATAACAATGCATATTTTAAAAGTACCATATTATATTCGATTCACATATTGAAATTCATATGAATTGATTATAGTTATAATTTAATGAGTTTTTATAAAAGGAAAAAAAAAAAAGAAAAAAGAAAGTGAATTACAATATATGAAATTGATATCACATTACTCATTATTCGACTCTTAATGCTCAATAGAATACATCTGATGCTCATTAACAGGCGATTTGAACTCAATAAAAACGTCTTGATGCTCAATCGGTACTCAATTGCACGCTTTTAATACTCAGTAGAGGAGGTTTAATGCTCAATGAAAAATGTCCGTATGCTCAACATATTAATGCTTATTTTGTAAGCTACATATGCTCAATCGATACTGATATTATGCTCATTTTTTATGAAGCACAGATCACGATTTTGAATATTAGACTTCTAATACTCAATATAATAGGTCTGATGCTCATTAAAAGTTCATTAATGCTCATTCAGCAGAAACCGTGAATTTCATCTCAATAACGAAGGTTTGATGCTCAATTAAAATGTTGTGATGTTCAACTAACAAAACAACTAAAAAAATTCATTAATACTCATTTTGTATGTTACGTATGCTCATCAGGTACTGATGTTATGCTCATTTTGTAAATGTCATATCAATGCATTTTTAAAAGTACTATTCTAAATTACATTTACATAATGAAATTCATAGGAGTTGATTCTAAAGATAATGTAATAAATTTTTATAAAAGAAAAAATAACAAAAAAAGAAAGTGAATTAGAAGTTATGAAGCAGAGATCATGATTCTGAATATTGGACTCCTAATTCTCAATATAAAAGGTTTGATGCTCATTAAAAGTTCATTATTACTCATTTGTTACTAATGTAATGCTCATTTTTACAATTCATATCAATGCATATTTCAAAAGTATCAATAGTGGAGGTTGAAAAATCAATTAAAATGTCATGATGTTCAACTAACAAATGTTACGATTTTCATATCAATGTGCACTTTGTAGGTTATGTATGTTCATTTGGTACTCATGTTATGCTCATTTTTACAATGTCATATAAATATAATTTTCCTTTTATAAAAACTTATTAAATTATATTTCTAATCAACTCCTATGAATTTCAATATGTGAACCTAATGTAAAATAGTACTTTAAAGAAAATATGTTGATATGACATTTAGAAAATAAGCATAAGATCAATACCAGATAAGCATGCACATCTTACAAAATGTTCCTAGATATGAAAATCGCAAAGTTTGTTACTTTGAATAACAACATATTCATTGAGCATCAAATATCATATATTGAGATGAAAATCACTGTTTCTGTTAAATGAGCATTATTAAACTTTTAATGTGCATCAGACCTATTATGAGCATTAAAACAATTTTGATGAGCATCACGCTTATTAGGAACCTAACACTATATAAAAAAAATTATAAATATATTTATATAAATTAATACTATCATTCATAGATCAAATAAATACTTCAAAAATATGAATTACTCTTTTAATGAAGTAATAATGAGAAAAGGCAAAAGAATAGTTAATATTATAATTACTATTAATAATACGCAGTATGAAACTATATAAGATAAGTAAGATAAAAGAACTAAATATTACAACAAGACGACTTGGTGAGATGGTTGGAAGATAGCATATGCTATTATTGGTCACGGGATCGAATCCCATCGGGGTTCTTAATTTTTTTGTGAAGGAATCCAGTTCTCTACTACCAGTCAAATTCATTAATTGGGCCGGATGTACGTTATTTTTGTGTGAAGGAATCCAGTTCCCTACTACCAGTCAAATTCATTAATTGGGCCGGATGTACGTACATCCGGGTGTACGATATAGGGACTCGTATTATGGACCGCAATTTTTTTCAATTAAATGCGTTCAACTTACTCGCAGTCCACTTTTCGCGGGAATTCATTCTTAGCTCACCAAAAGCCATTCTCTTTTCTCACACCTCTCATTGAAGGAATCCAGTTCCCTACTGCCAGTCAAATTCATTAATTGGGCCGGATGTACGTACATCCGGGTGTACGATATAGAGACTCGTATTATGGACAGCAATTTTTTTCAATTAAATGCGTTCAACTTACTCGCAGTCCACTTTCCGCGGGAATTCATTCTTAGCTCACCAAAAGCCATTCTCTTTTCTCACACCTCTCCATTTTGTCCATCCGTATGTGCATCGCCAATTCTATTCAAAATCCCTTCCTTCATTTGCCCTTTAAAAATTCTTTTTCATATTTTAAAGCAATAAAAACGGAGAAGGTCTGAAGGCGAAGTCTCGTCAGCGAAGTACCAACTTTGGCATATTAGAGATCATAAATCTCAAGTTTAAATTTTGTTGATGGCTTGGAAAGATAAATGGGTTCGAATTTTAGGTCTGCTGGCCTCCCTTATCTGATCTCCTCATATATTTATTCAAATTTTTTTACAGATTCAGAATTATTTTTTTGCAGGTACCATTTCCATTCGTGTCTGCATACTTTGATTGATGATGGGTGTCGATCCGAGTGGTTTAATCATTGCTATTGAGTGTTTTAATTTCGTGTTCAAAATGGAAAGAATCTTCATTTTTTTAAATTATATGGATGGCTTAAAAGTCAAGATTTGGATTTTTCTAGTTGGAGCAATGCGTATATTAATTTATCTTTTGTTAAAATTTTCGCATCATTTTTAATTTTCAGACGAAGGCTTCAATTCATGGTCAGTGTCTTGTGGAGCACTGCATTTCTTGTCTTCTAAGCTGGAGGCATTATCCTCTGATATCCCTGCAGGGTTTCCATCTGGTGATTAATTGTAGCCTTCAAGGAGGAAGATAATCATGACATTTGATGTGGTTATGGACTCCGGGAAAAGGAATGTGGTGGTGGGAGTCCGGTTTGATAGCAGCCATGCTAAAGAGTTGCTTGATTGGGCTTTGATTAAGGTTGCCGATCCCGGTGACACTGTTGTTGCCATTCACGTTTGTAGAAATTCAGGTGATTTACAAGCTTTCTTTTCTACTCCACAACCCTAACGTTTTATTAGTACTTCAATTCTAAATGCCTTAAGGTTGTGTTGAGAATAAGGTTAGAATGGAGGATTATCCAATGTATATTATTACCTAGTTTGGTTAAGTTTCAGACAGGTAAAGAGAAATTGATGAATTAATACAATATTGTGTTGAACTAGCTAATAATTTCTAGTTCGACATAAGTATCGTAAGGTACAGTTAAAGGAGTCCAATAAGATATCTTGAATTCTATCATGGTATCAGATAGTTGTGGTTCACTTTCATTAGCCTGTGTTGTGGTCAGTAGCCTACTCATACGCGTCTGGAGTGCGGTTTGAGACCCAATTATCTGGCCCGACTAGACAAACAGAACCTAGATACCTGTGGATCTAAACACCATGTCAAAAAATTCTGGTGGGACGTGGCTTCCTCGAAGCCGATATGATGCTATGACTAGGCTCCTCTCTCAAAAGTTTTGAATAAAGAGAAATTTGTGAGTCTGTAAAATCTGGTTGAAGTAGGGGTCTAGTTGAGTGATTTAGACTCAATCATATTCATGTCATCACTGGAGGACTAAGGGAGCCCCCGGTCACGAAGAATAGTATTAGTACTTAAATGATTGTTGATGTTCCGATTTTCATCAGGTTGAAAAGTTTTAGTTTTTCGATGAGTATCGCTTAAACTCAGATGTTGTAATAGCTGCAAGAAAGAAACATTATTGCGCTTAAGAAGAAGAAAAATTATTTTTTATAACTCAACCCCAAAACAACACCATCATGATCTCTAGTTTTGCTTAAAAGGAACTATCTAAAGCAACATTGTTTTAAATAAATAAAAGAAAAGAAGAAAATCATATTAATATTTGAAGATAAAGTTAGCTCGTCCTCGATAAGATTTAATCTAGTATAAATAATTTAAATTTACATATTTGAAACTTTAATAAAATAATATTGACTCCCAAAATGAAATACAAATATGATTAAAATTTGATATATAAAGTTATATATTAAAACGAAGTTATGTTGAAAGCAAGAATAGAAGATCAGAATTAAGCTTCATTTAGGGACGGTGGTATTATTATATTTAAAATAAGTAGAACCAAAAATGTGTTCGGCGTGTAGGGTTGGACATGGTCCAAGTTCTGTGTAGAACTGGGACATTTGGTTTTTATAGTCCATACTTAACTGAAATTATATTCTAAAATCAGAAACATTGCAAGTATAGTCTGCTTCAAGTTGGTCTATACATGGGCCAGTATTGAAGAACATTGGCTTGATTATGTTTTTTAAGCTCAATATTCATGTTTATAACTGTATAAACGGTTTGAGAATCAGACTCAGAACCGGCAGTTGTACAGGACCCTAAACTGACATCGGTTCTGGTTAAGATTCTTCAATCTTAATATCTGCATTAACCAAATCAGAACTGGTTCAATCTGGAATCTTCAATCTGGACAACCTCTGTTTGAAAAGATTGAGACATATGCCATTGCGTGTGTTGTTTTCTTTGGATTTTTATACCAATTAATTAGGCACATATTATCTTTATTATGTTAAGGTATTTATTATGTCATGTTAGACTCAAATGCTGAAGATAAATACTCCTTGGATAGTTACGTGGATGATTGCGACGACATATGCACTAAAAAACAGGTTAGATATTTGGCGGTTGACACGTTTAATCTTTGTAGCACTATTATGGCCAGCTGGTCAGGGAGAGTAAGAAATGAACAGTATTAAGAGATATTTGTATGGGGATTTCAGGTTAATCTAAAAGCACAAATTTCAAAGGGAAGTTGTGTTAGAAAGGTGTTGGTGAGGGAAGCAAAGAAAAATGGTGCTGTGACTGTAATTGTAGGGACTAGCACGCGCTTAGCTCTTCGGTAAGGTTATTTATCTAATAGTAAATGTGCATTAATTAATTTCAACTCTGTTGGTGGTAGTTATTTGATTATTTCTTGAACTTATTAGTGGACAGTGAATTGCTTTTTAGGGGTTGGACTTCGATTGCTAAATACTGTGCAAGGCAACTGCCTACCTCAGTTGGAGTTATGGCTATTCACAATGGGAGGATCGTTTTCAAAAGAGGATCCAATTGTGAATACACAGGTTAAATCTAATGATCAACTTCTTAGGACCGCAAACGTTACAATGACTCCATGTTAGTAAGATATTATCCGCTTTGGGTCAAGCCCACATGGCCACATCAATATATTTTTGGGCACATGCCAAAGGGTCTCATACTAATGGAGTTATAGACACTCATATTCAAGGTGATTCTTCCATATTTTTCTAATCCAGAACTTATGATAGACCACCACACTTTTTTTCTATAACGCGGCATCCGGGACTTTTGGCCCGAATAGTCCCGTCGGCTCCAAAGTTAATGACCCGGTAACCTCCAATAGCCCTCCAGAAGGACTCGAACTAGTGAACACAGAGAATTTTTCATTCCTGGGTTTAAACCACTTGAACAACCAGAGAAGGTTCCCAACAACTTTATAAGAGTATTTAGAATATAGCTGTATAGCTTGGTATTTGGTTTGCTTTCTCTCCAGCTTTGAACATTTTAAACTTGATTATGTATGGCAGGTGCTGCTGAAGATCCTAGACCAAGTTTCTATAAGGAAGGAAGATCGACTTTCTGGGATGGTCAGTCTGGACTTAGCAAATCAGGAAGGCTCTGCCTTGAGAACAGATTAAGAGAAGAAGAAATGCCTGACACCCCTGGCTGGCCCCTTCTCCGAACTGAGACTGTTAGGGATAAGGTTGAGTCTGCCTCAATATCTAAGGAGCTCTCAAAAGGTAAGGGTTGTTCAATAATTATTAAGATGTTCAGTCATTCACATTTACAGCTAATGAAATTAAGACTCTTCAAAAGAAACTGCTATTGCTTTTCCAGTTGCGCTTCCTAGGAAGATGTCAGTGGTTCAGTGGGTAACGACCTTACCAAACAGGTCTTTCCTAGACTCTCCTAGATCAAATTCTAGTCCAAAGAGCGGAAGTACTTCCGAAGAGGAAACTTGCAGCAGCTATACTGATAAGAGTGAAAGCAATGATTTGAAACTTATGATTGATACAAACTTCACTGGCTTCAAATGGTTCAGCTATACTGTTCTGAGAGCATCCACTTCTCACTTCTCATCAGGTTAGTGAGAAGTGATAGTGTCTTACTGTCCATAACTTCTACAGTTACATTGTATAGACATCTATATGTCAAGCCTTTTTTTACACCTTTGTATCCATTATATATATAATCAAGACTTTCTTCCAAACTAACTCTCTTTATAAAGAATACCTAAGTGTTAGTTGAGTATAACATAATTCCTTTGCAAGTAAGCCTATTTAATATTCACTTACTTGTGCAGAGAACTTAATTAGTAAAGGAGGGTGTAATAAAGTATACAAGGGACTGCTTCCAGATGGCAAAAGAGTTGCGATAAAGATTCTAAAGTCATCAAAAGAAACGTGGCGGGATTTTACGCGAGAAATTGACATAATGGCTTCAGTTAATCACGAACACATTGCGCCTCTACTCGGCATTTGTATTGAAGATAATGATTTAATATCTGTTTACAATCTTTTATCCAAAGGAAACTTGGAAGAAAACTTACATGGTAGGTTGACTTGTTCAATAAAGTTCTTCTTCTCCAATCTCTAGCCTTATCGCATAGGTTTTATGGCGAAAACTGTTAAGTAATCCCACACTAGCCAAATATAAAAATATAATCTTTAATAAACAAGTTTCCTCATACCAGGTTAAACTTCCGTTCTTATATGTTCTTGGAACTATAAATTTTTAATTTGGAATTATGTATTAAAACATAATCTGGAGTTTATTGTCAAATCAGGAAAGGGAAAGATAAAATCTTCACTGTCTTGGGAAGTAAGGTTCAGAATAGCTCTACAGATGGCTGAAGCCCTGAACTACCTGCACAATGAACGTCCTCGGCCTATCATTCACAGAGATGTCAAGTCTTCAAACATTCTACTTGGTGATCTGTTTGAAGCAAAGGTAACATACTCACTATTAGGAATAACAATATGAGAAGGAGATTGTTATTACTGAATTTATAATATTGCTAATATAATTTATATTAGGAGTATTATATATTTAGGAACACTCTTTCCTTACTCTGTTATTGCTGATACTTCTCTATACCTACCTCACCACACTACTATGCGTAATGAATCAACTTCCTTTATCCGAGATAGTTACTCGTTGGCTATTTGTTTGCAGTTATCCGACTTCGGGTTAGCGATATGGGGACCCACAACAACACCATTCATGACACATACTGATGTGTTGGGAACCTTTGGTTACCTTGCTCCCGAGTATTTTATGTATGGAAAAGTTAGTAACAAGATTGATGTATACTCCTTTGGAGTTGTACTGTTGGAATTGTTATCAGGGAGAAGAGCTATTGGATATGAGACTCATGGTGGTCAACAAAGCTTAGTTATGTGGGTAAGATATGATCTGTGACATTAACCTCATAACATTCCAAGTTAGCTGCTAAAATGTCCTGATTGGTTGAGACTTAAGAAGAAAACAAAGAATGCATTTGTTGTGTTATTTGGTATGAAGAAATAAGAAACATAGAATGGAAAGAAAAATGTGAAGGATAGAAAAGACCCATTATTGGTGGTGGGTGGGAAGCTTAGAAGAGTGTGTGGGTGGGTGGGTGGGGGGCAACTCTCAACTCCTTGTAATCTGAGGGATAAAAGTCAGTGGACCCTCCTTTTTTGGATTATTACATTATTCCTTAAATATTACAACGTACTAGTTATAAATACTCATAGGAAAAAAAATCAACTTTTAATTTTAGCACACAAATGTCACCAATGCAATTAACAAAAGTCAAATAGTCAGTTTCATGTTGGTAACTACGTGTCTAATTTGGTAATGATTGTTGGTAATTGTGTTTGTGAGATATATGCTCTAAAGTGAAAACTAAGAATTTTTGCTAATGCTATTTAGTTTGTTAAATTTAAGGGATTTTGAGGTTTGACTCTCTTTTTTGTCTTTATTTCTCTCCTATTCCAAATTGGAGAAAATATCTGTATCTTCCCTATTTATTTCTTTCTTTTATTCCTTCTTCATCTTATTTTACTCTACCGAACATATTTAAGGCAAAACCCAAATTAGAGAATGGAGATTTGAAAGGCATACTTGATGAAAATCTGAATATGAATGGAGATGAAGCACAGGCGCACAGAATGGCTCTTGCAGCAACATTGTGTCTTACACAATCAGCTCGTTCTCGTCCCAATATAGGACAGGTAAAACAGCAATTGCATAGCTTATAATTTTGAGAGTTCTTTCATATTATCCCCCCCAGTGCATATGTCTTTGTTCCATGCCATCTTATTGCATATGTAGATTGAGGATCAAACAAAAGGTGTTTCTTAGGAAAAATGAGAATGGGTAGGCCTTTTTCCATGAATATTACTAAATTAAATTCAAAAGACAAAAGTATGACTTACTTTAAAATTTTCAGTGAGAACTAACTCGTCATCTATCAGTGACTTGTCACTTTGAAATACACTATAGTGACTTTTGTACAGTTACTCGTGCACACTAGTCATATTTGTGTCCAAAAACATAACTAGTCATATTTTTGTCCAAGGAAACTTCGTAAGTAATATTAATGTCATTTTTTCAAATGAATATGGCCCATTATAGATCAAAGGGCTCATAAAATAATCTTGAGAAACAAGTCTGAAAAAAACATGGTGGTAGTATTGTAATTCACTGCAACTTTTGCCACCGAGTTCATTTAAATAGTGCAGCTCTCACAGGGGGACGACAAATTAATTTTGGAGCCTGTTCAACATGGCAAGATGAGGCCCCGCATTTTAAGTAATCTCTAAGAAAAAAGCTTTGATAGGACTAGGTTGAATAATTTAAAAGGGTGCGTGAATGTGAAATGCTTGGTGATGAATTGAAAAAACTCATATTTAGATACAGTATAAATTAATAGGCTTTGGAGTCAATGAAGTTATTGAATTCAAAGAGCAAAATGTTATTAAGATAAACCCTCTTTTTTCTAGTGAATACCGATATATTATTGTATTGCTTTTGGGTTTTGGATTCTGAGATATGATGGAAATCAAATCAGTAAAATGATTGATCAGGACGGAGTGGGAAAGTAATGAAGGAGATCAGAGATGCGCATATCCCCCCCTCCACTTTTTACAGAAAATTTCATTTTTACTTGGAATGCACTATAATAGTTTATATAAATAACTCTCTCATTTACCAGATAATGAAGATGATAAGGGGCGAGGAAAATATTAAAGAAGAAATGCACATGCAAATTGAGAACGAACAGGATTCACAAAATATGGATGATAATGATGATGAGGTTTATCCAGAGTCGAGCAGTGCAGCAGAGTCACACCTCACACTTAAGCCTTGCCTTACTCGACGTAAATGATTGCTCTTCCACATCATCCAGCAGTGTGGAGCAAAGCAGCCCTTCATCTGTGGAAGCATACTTGAAGAAAAGATGGAACACATCTTGAGACAGCTTTGACTATCCCTTTCCTGCAGATTCCTATATATTTTGGGTTTCTTGTTGTACAGTAAAACAAAATGTTTCACCCTCTTGCCTGTAATGAGGCGTTTCATTTGTGTTTAGATGCAGACATCAGAATATAGTTTTATTAAGGTGCAAATGCTTCAAGCAAGGCCTCCAAAGTGTTTATCATATGTTGAGTAAGGTGGTTGTAATCACATTTTTGAATGAATCCAAATAAGGTTTTGAAAATCGCATTGGTGGTCCAAATAGAGTTTTGCAAAATTCATGTGAAATTTAAAAGAGTTGCAAGTTAATATTGCAAATTCAATCCACTATTTAAAACTATGCATATGACCACATACATGTTATGTTTTCCAGTGTAAATAATTCAAATATCAAATAATTAGTTAACATATTCAAATTACAAATGTTACAAATAAAGTTAACATGTTATGTTAACATAATTTCAAATTTTCCAAAAAGGGAAATGAGACAATTACTTTGATATGTCCCAAAAAGGAAACTAGGACAAGTAAAGTGATACGGAGGAAGTATTGAATAGATCACAATATGTTTAGTTTTATACTATAGGTTTCAATAATCTTTAACAATATATCTTTATATTTTATTTTTTGACCAAAAAATATTTAACATTTATAGTTTTTTAGAATGGACGTTAAAAAATGTGCCCCCTATCAAAAGTGGGGCACAAGGCAATGCCTAGACACACTCCCCTATTACCGGGCCTGACACATACTTATATAAAAATACAGTTTTTAATTTTAGTTGTTAATTATATATATCCTTACATTATGCTAAATCAAGTCAAATAAGAAGTTTATTTTGGGACATTCAAACCAGGAAAATAGAAAGTTATGTTTGTAATAAGGTTAGTATTACATTATAAATTTTTGAAGTTTACGCATGGACCAAATCAATTTATTAATGTAAATTAGAAAATCATACAATTTGACTATCAATTCGATTGAATTGTAATGACATTGGTGTTGAGGTTAAGCCATGCACTTTTCTCATATCTAATTCAAACAACTTGTTAAACTTTTAAAAGTAGCTGAAGTTAAACTGATTTTCATAATGGGTAATGTAAATGAATAAAGACGCCTTTTTTAGTAAGAAGAAACACTGGTTCAATAACCCAAGAGATCAGTATCCTAATTAAAGGCTTGAAATACGTGTTATAGAGATAACATTTCTAGCTGAAGTTTGATTACATGATTCGTGTACTATACCAATAAACATAGAAAACAAAGTGCGTGTTCACATTGTTTGCTTTGATGTGTCCGTATAAAATCCAAAATGGCTTTAAAGTTGGTACAACTTTCAAAAAACCCTTAGCTGGGATGATATGGAAAAATTCTCAACCACCTATGTTTTTAGACATTGGTATGATTGAAAAACAAAATGAAGAAGAAAAATTCATTCATATTAAAATGTTTAATGACCAAAATGATCTTATTTAGAAAATGTGCATTTTACACTAGCTATTTCCGTCCAATTAAAAATATTGCGCACAACATTATTGCACATCCGGTAAGAATCACTGCATACTCGCCAACACTACTACTCTTCCCATCCATGTTTGGAATTTCTGTATAGTTTTTTAAAGATGTAATAACTTTAAATTAGTATTTTACGTCCAATTAAATATAGTACATCTAGTGTCGTCGTTATTGCTCTATTGTCTTCGATTCACTGCACAAGACACTTCATCAATGCATCCATTAACTGCACATGTACAAGTACAAGTGTACAACACTATCTAATGTCATGCTCATTGTTCATATGTAAAACTATCTATTGCCATTTTCACTACTCATATTTACTGCCCATGTTCACAAACCCTAAACTCACAAACACTAAGTTCATAAAAAAATTAAATAGTGGAGATGCAGCGACATCGGGACAGCCGCGATAAGTGAGACAACGGCGGCCACGGGTAGGCACTAGGAATTGGGATGGTCACGAAGCCGCCGCAAAGGGTCGGCCACAACACCGCAGAATGAGGATGGCGGCAATGGCGCACAAGCATAGGGACTGAGGCGGCGCTGCGTCAAGTAGACACGGAGACGGCTGTGTGTAGGCGCATAGAAATGGCAACGGCTGTGGTGGCTCAGCATAGGGATAGTTGCGGCAAGCAGGCATGGAGACGACAACATGGGTTAGGCGTCAAGGCATGGGGTAGCCGCGACGCCATGACATGAGGACAGAGGGGCATAAGGTACCACGTCGATGGGGTCAGCGAGTGCGGCGGTGTCTGGGCGGCGAGTACCGCAATGACGGGCTATTGGCTAAGTTTTTTAGAAAATGAATAGGAAGTTAGGGTTTTATAATATAAGAGAAATTAGTTCATAAAATTATTTATTTATTTATTAAATAATATGAATTTAAATATTATTTTGCAGAAAAAATTAATGAGATCATAGAATGAAAAAGTTGATGAGTTTTAGTCACATACCCAACATACATGTCAATTTTCTCTTTTTCATCTATAAGTATTTCTAGTATCATCTTACACGGGCCTTGATCCAGCTAGCTGGATAAGCCTAGAGACTCTACAACATTACCCTCTTTGGACGATCAATCACCCATCCATGAGGTCATGAGAATAAACAACTTCAAAAAATCACGCAAGCTACGACAGCCATTTGTTAAGATTTTCTCTTGGAAGCGTCAAAATTTATATTCACTCAATTGGAATGGGTTTCAACCGCCTATTACCCTAGCATGTCCTGTCGACCAAATGACACTAATAAAAATTGGACATGCCATGCACCATCCTCCAACACTACTTCCTCATACAACTACTTTACTGTGTCCTCTTTAAAGTCTGGTTATTGCAACTCTTTTAACATCCAATTTTGGATGTTCAATGTTGTTTTTATAACTAAATTTAAAGAACCTTAAATAAATATACTAAATTACACATATATACCTACATGCTTTAAAAAAACATTGAGTGTTCATATGAACCCCCTTTGAACAATAGTGGCTCAGCTAGTGATGCCCCTTTGAAGTTCATGAAATAATAGCTACAATTTTTTTTGGGAAAACTGTCAAATAGGTTTTCGAACTTTAATAAAAATGTCAATCAAGTCCTTCTATAGAAGTATCTATCCAGACGTCGCGATTTGGGGCAATTCCCGGTGGAATTTTTTGATGAAATTTTTTGAGCATCTTATTCACCAAGTCTAGTTTACTCATACCAAATTTCAGCTAAAACTTCAATCGGGAACACATTCAAATTAATTCTTGAAGATAACTGCGCATTTTTGCGTTCTCGAATTAATTTGAATGCGCTCCCGATTAAATTTTTAGCTGAACTTTGGTATGAGTAAACTAGACTTGATGAATAAGATGCTCAAAAAATTTCATCAAAAAATTCCACCGGGAACCACCCCAAATTGCGACGACCGGACAGAGTCTCCTATATAAGGACTTAATTGACTTTTTTATGAAAGTTCGAGGACCTATTTGACAGTTTTCCTTTTTTTTTTGAAAGGAAATAATATCTATAGTTATTTAATATAAAATATTAAATAGATCATTATATTTTTAGTTATATGCCGTCTCAATGATCTTTTAATAACATGTCTTTTTTTAATAACATTTTTAATCGGAAATAAAAACTATTAAACTAACATGAGTAACCTTATGAAACTATCACAAATAGGTTAAGAAACTAACACTAATACTTTCAGAAACTACAAATAATGAGTTTTAGCACAAATAGTAATGAACTAGTGTAACACCCGGGGCATGCCCCGGTAGAGTTAATTTGATATGGCTTTGTGAGACAAATATCAATAAACATTGTTAACTATTCATAAGATATAATCAAAAGTTTGGCTATAATTGATTTCTTTTATGAACTAACCACCATCATGGAAGACGGGTGGGGGAGGACCATCTTTTGGAGTATGAATTTGTGGTTATATTTTGGTTTGTGTTAATTGTTGTAATAGTTATTAATTATTTATAGGGCTGATTATATGATGAGGAATAATAAGAAGATCAGAAGTGTTGGATTGGAAATGATGGTATGTGGGGTTTACATTATTTTGATAGTCATGTGTGTTATTAGTGTTGTACCATTAGAGTCCCGTTCACGTGAACTAAAGTTCCATTATTTAAAAATTTGGTCGTGCATTAGAGCCTACTCAAATATGTAAGATTAATTTTGTATGATTAGAGTTCTCTTATGTGTATTAGAGTCTCATTAATTAAAGAATTTGATGTTGTTAATTTTTTTACAAACTGAACTGATATTTATTCTGACAAATCTATATCATTACTATATGATTGATATTAAGAAATTATTCTATTCGACTGATATGAATATTTACGATCTGAAGTTTTTAAGATCTAGTCTGATCTAATCTGAATTTTTTTCGATCTAGTCTGATCTGGTATGATCCCGTATAAACCTTCTGATCTGATGAGTTTTTCTGATTTTGATATGATCTGAATCATTCTAATATGATCTAAATATTTTTATGTGATTGGTGTTTATTAGTATTATATCAAGTTATTATTATCATCATAACTATAATTATCATTATCATTGTCATTATAACTATAAGTATAAAGATAGTTATCATCACAATTATAACCATAACTATCATTATATTATCTTTATAATTATCTTTATAATTATCCTTATTTTTTATAACTATGATTACCATTATAATAATCATTATGTCATTGTTATCATCATCATGATCATCATCATCATCATAATCATCATTTATTTATATTATTGTTATTATTATTATTACTATTACTATTACTATTACTATTATTGCTATTATTTCTATTATTATTATTATTATTATTATTATTATTATTATTATTATTATTATTATTATTATTATTATTATTATTATTATTATTATTATTATTATTATTATTATTATTATTATTATTATTATTATTATTATTATTATTATTATTATTATTATTATTATTATTATTATTATTATTATTATTATTATTATTATTATTATTATTATTATTATTATTATTATTATTATTATTATTATTATTATTATTATTATTATTATTACTACTACTACTATTATTATTAATATCATTATTATTATTTTCACCATCATTATGATTTTTTTATCATCATCATCATCGTCTTCACCAGGCCATTCGTACCATTCGTACAGACGCTATTATTGTAGATTGCTTCTATTAAAATTAATTATGAATGCTGTTATTATAACCATTA